TATGCCAGCCAACCACAAACAGCGTCTCACAATCATAAATTAAATAATAATACAACAAAAGATTCTCAGTATGATAGTAATGCAACAACATCAAATAGTTCTCTTGCAACTACAACAGCACCTACATTAGGTCTTAGTTCTGCTTCCGTAAATAGTTCACAAACTAAAGTAACGAATTCTAATGGTAAATAAAATTAAAATAAAATTAAAAATTTAATGAAATTATTTATATGATTAGTTTAAAATAATTTTTTGTAACGGGTTTTCTAAAGCGGTACCGAAAAGTACATCGAGTGGTGTAGTAACAGGTAGTAGTGGAAGTGGAAATATGACAAGTGGTGCAGCAGGTAGTATGACACCAATGTTAAGTCACCAATATATTATGGGCCAAGGTGTACCTTATGCATTTCAACAACCAGTATATAGTTATGAAGAATTACAACTTATGCAACAAAGAATACCGCATATGGTCAGTTATTATTTGATTAATTTATCTTAATTAATTTGTCTTAAGACTCAAGTACAACTTATTTATGTATTAATTTTGAAAATAATTTGTACTTGATATCATTGAAATGCTTCATTAGAGTAATGTACACTCCAAAAATTTATATCGTTTTATTTTACATGATATAATGTAAAATAAAAACAGATATAAATAGATATAATGTTACATTTCTTAAACAATAATTAATATTCATAATTGAAAAGAAAAAATTATATTTCAAATGTACTACTCTGAAGCATGCTATTCTATTTTATGTCATGATTATTTAGTAAAAAGAATGCTGAAGTAATAATTTTTTTAATGCTTGGTAGCTGCTCGTTATTTCAATTTTTTTTTATTTTATTTTTTTTATTTTTTTTTTTTTATTTTATTTATTTTTTTTTTTTAAAGAAATTATGAATTTCTTATTTATATCTTTAAGTTGGCAAAAAGAGTTTGTTATATTTTTTCATAGTGAGATGTCAGATAATTTTTTTAAACATTTTGATTTTTGAAATACTAATAGTAGAAAAATAAAGACGTTTGTGATCAACTTGGAAAGATATTAAAAAATTAATATGTTAAAATAAATTTTTATTGATAATATATAATACCATTTTGATCATAGACTGATTGTAGCTTTTATATTATATCTTCTCTTTATCATTGATTTCATTTATATAATGTTACGTATCTAAAAAAATATAAAAATATATAATTTTCAAGTGGTTATGTTGTATTATATTTTAGAAAGAAATTATTGAAGGAATTAATTATATTAATATATATAATATATTCATTAATATTACAAATAAATTATATTAATTATAGTTATAAAGTAATTATATTTTAAGACATAAAAAGTTTTTAATTTTAAATTAAAAATTCTAAAAGAGTTTTAAATTGAAGAAAATTTAAAATAGATACAACCAAACCACATGTTCTTGCCCCAAATCTAGTACGCGTAGACTTAGATATTAGTTAGCCTTCTTGTATTTGGAGTACACAGTGTATGCATGTAGTTTTGTGTTTGGCCTTTCTGACTAACCTGCAGCCAACTACTGGTTACTATGACGCGGCCTTGGGCTATCAGACAACCGGCCCTGCTACCAGTCTTGGTGGGGGACGAGGAGATGCACTTTCTGGTGTACAAGGTGTTCAAGGAGTGCAAGGTGTACAAGGAGCCTATACCAGTATTAGTGATGCCAGATTCGCTAGAAATGACAGCAATGCATCTCCAGTTCCATCTACTATGTCACAACAGGTAAAATTTATAAAATTATATAATAAATATGAAATCAGCTTAACTATTCTTACTATATTTAAATATTAATTTAATCAAATAATACATTTAGATTATATTTAAACTTTGTATTTTTTTATTTATATTATTTATTTAGACTGCTACACAGCATCAACAACCAATGATGAATCCTACACTTCCTCCAACATATGCATATTTTGCATATGGTGGTGGAATAATGCCAGGTGGTTTTCAATATGGAACTCCTGCTATTTATCCTGTAAGTTAATCAAAGAATACAAATTTTTTTTTCTTTTATTATATATATATATATATATATATTCTAACAAAAATTCGGTTTTCATTTATTATAATAACTATAGCAGATAGCGACTGCTGGTAACGCGGGTACGAATAGTGGTGCATACAGTGCTAAACCGGGAAGTTATGGATCTGGATATGGAGCTGGTGCAAGTTATGATGCATTAGCATCTGCTGGTCCCTCTGCTGAATATAAAGGTGCAGGAAGCAGTTACACTAGTACACAAACTGGTAAAACCGGAACATCTACTGGAAATACAAATACTGGTGGATCTTCTGCAACCGATATAAGCGCCACTATGTATGCAAAAAGTCATGTAGCACTTAGTAAAGTGAATGTAAGTATCTGTATATAGTTAATTTTATAAAAATTATTTTTTAAAAAATTTAATAATACTTTAATTATTTTAGTCTTACGACAAACAAACTTTTCACTCAGCAACTCCTCCGCCATTTAGTCTTACTGGAAGCCAAAATGCTGGTTTACCTGGTGCATATGGAACACCACATTTGTTTATCCCAACTATGCCTCATCAATTACACCAACCACTTCATCAAGATGGTGGTAGTAGTACAGGCCAAAGGTCTAATACAAGTTCCCAAAATAAAGCCCAAGCAAAACCTGGTTATAGTCCTAGTTATTGGACTGGAAGTAATTAAAAAATTGGACTGCGAAAGGAAAAAGAGAGGAAAAAAATAAAAATGCACCATTTTAGACAAACTATCATTTCGCCATTGTGATACACGATGGTGTGAAATAAGGACATTGACATAAATGATATAAAGGACACGAGATAAGACGATTTTCCTTTTCTTTTCTTTTTTTT